CGCTGGCCGCGTTCGGGAGTTAAGATGGCCGCCGTCCATTGTCCTTACCACGTGCGTTCGTATGCACGAAATGGCTGCCACCTAGGAGCATTCAATTAGCTTGCGGTTTTCGTATAGTTACTCAGTGTTCCACGTTCTAATTGGTACCTAGGCTGGTCTCCGTTCGGTAAAACGAATGATTTACCAAACAATGAAAATAAAACGAATAATCCAAGGGATAAAGGATAGAGAAACAAGCAGGGACAGATTTAGACGGATTCCAGAATTTAGGGAATGTATAACAATATAAATTATTTTATTTAAACTATAGAAAATGTCAATACATTGCTAAAATAAATTTATTAAAAAAAAGGAATATGGTTATTTTTTTTTTCTCATTTATGGTAATAATCTTTCTCTTTGAATAAATGTCAACTGATACCCCTTCATAAAATCTCATCAACTTTAACCCATTCTTTATACTTGTAGAGATTGGGGATGGCAGTGTAAGAATAGCAAGTTTAAGCTATATATTATTTTAAATCAATACTTTCCTAAAGAGCATGTAATGTTTTTTGGGTTAGCATTAACATCATTGTGTCTTCTTTTCGCATCCCTTCCTAATCTCTGGCCTGTAGGAGATGATATGATAAATCCACAATGAGTGAAGTGGACAAGCATGTCCCCCTAAAGCATGGTATGACCCAGGGCAATGTCCTTTATGTCCTGTGAAAGAGACCATACTGCAAACAGTCAGTCTAAATTTTGAATTGCATATAATATACATGTCTAATCCAGTATATCATGATATACAAATGTATTTTTTTAGTATTAAATTACATTTACTTAAAAGTTACTCTTTGGTTAATGTTTTCAGTAGTCGACTGCGCCAAAAAATAAAGCTATTATGTGTCCCAGGTCCATAAAACGATGAGATGTTTTTAGCCACGACATGTCACTAATGTATTACAGCTTATATACATTTATATTGCACTCACGAGCTCAGTGTATTGTATTGACACTGCACAGTTTGAAAAGAACTACTGAATGCAAGCAAGGCTGGTCTCTGAAGATTAAGACCAAACTGTCCAAAGATTAGACACTGACTGCGAGACTCACAGGATCAGAACAGAAACACCTGGGCATCAAATTCTAAAATTGTCTAACCAGCTACAGACATCTTGTATCACTACTGATTATTGATTATCAATAGATTCAAGAGCTCAGATCCAAGGACATTTCCTTTTAACCTTCCTGTCGCCTCTGTCATGTCAGCTGGACATCAATACCACCCTGCTCATTCTTGTCTTAAATGTTTGAGAATATTTTATATCAACGTAAACCTTTTTTTTTTTGCAATTATTCTGATTGAAAAATTGTTTCATTTGGTTCATGTGGAAGAGCTACATTTTTTATAAAGAGAGACATAAAATGTCTATATACTACAGCAAGGTTAAGCAACCTTCTAGACTCTTGATATTGTGGACTACATCACGCACAATGCTCTCAACCACAAAGCTGGCAAACCATCTGGGGGAGAAGGAGAGATATAGTACTCGACATCTGGCATGCCAAAGGTGATGCTTACACCTGTATATAAGAGTAAAGGATTACACCAGCTGTCATCGGCTATGTAATTTTTTGCATTTTAACATCATTAGTTTTTGTTTGCATTCAGTGGCACAACAAAGCAGTTTATAAACCCCACTGCTGCTAGAAGCAGTCACAGAGACTGTGCTCCCTCCTTGCTGTAAATGAGTGTGCCCACAAAGTAGATGTAATCCTTTCAAGCCCCCCTCCACCTCTATTTGGCTTTCGTGTAATCCATGTAGAAACAGTGCTCAACTTGGACTGCAATTCCTTTTGTGTATTTATAAAAATGAAAACGATGTGCATGCTTTATTTCTTTTCCTATGAACCTCTGCTGAATGTATCAAAAATCTTCTCTATGTAGAGCTGCATAGTCATAGTTTCAATCCAATGCATACATTGTCAGCTGGTTTTGAGCAAGTATTTATGTTTTATAAGTATAGGCAACGTTCTTAACAGATACTCCACTCTGGACTCTATATTCCCTGGCTATTTTGTCATGTTTGGGCTTCGTCCTCCATTTTGAAAAAAAAAACCTCTCCTTCTCTCTTTCCTCTTTCCTTTACTCTGCCCTCTTTCAAACGAGTCCAGGGGTTCTTATGATTGTCACACTGATCACTGACTGGATTACCCATGGAGTCTGGTGTTGCTCATGCAGCGTGACACCCATTGACCTTTCTTCCAAGGGATACATGTATTTTATTTTGATATCTGATATGCTGCAATTCACTACAGTGTAAACAAACTCCACACAATAAAGTGCAAGTGACACAAGGTGTTAAATTGGCGCCAGAGGTATACATAAGTGCGACTTCCCCAGTGTTTAAAAACCACTTAAAAAAACACTTATAAAAATAGTATAAACAAAGATAGAGATAGGGGACGCAACTTAAAGTGCAATAAGAAAATAAGTTGACAATACTTATTCACATTTGGCCATCAAGTTTTGAATTTCACCTAAAAAACAAACAGTACATAGTATAATACTGTATAAACATACAATTTCAATATTGGATATAGATTTCACACTCACACTTTGCTGAGCCACATCTAGTAGGCTCTGACTTTTCAGGCTTTTCAAAATCCCTTTAGCTTTGCATGGCAAACGTTCCAGTGATCTCAATAAAATGTATTTACTTTTTTTTTTATTGACAACATACCTTCTGTGGCTGCAGCATCAAGTATACAAAATAAATTAATAAATGCATTTGCACTAAAGAAAGCTTTCACAACTATGCTGTACATGTTACACATTTCATTCTCTCAGTAGCCTCATATTTATAAGTGTAATCATGAATTGAAATTAATTATATGATTTTACTTAGAGCCCTGAAGAGTCTACCATCTTTCTCTTTATCTTGGTCCATGGTGATCAAATGTGACTGAAAATTATGTGCATCATAACTAAGGCCAACTGAGGGGACATAGGTGAAAAGGGTGGCATGAGAGGTTAAGGAGGCTAAGGAATCAGAAAACTAGTATGCATGGGGGAATGAGGAAAATTGCAAACTGAGTTGATCAATCTGATAGGAGAAGGAAGGTGGTAGCAGGTGACATAAACACTCCAAAATTATTGCATCAGGTGGGTAAAAACAAATAAGCATAAACTGCTATGTAAACTTTTACAATATAAATCTTTACATATAGAAAGAATAAAGGTAAAACAAAACAGTAATACATAAAAGTAGATACTAGTGGTGTCAGACGTCTTAACCATATGTAGCATAACAAACACATGTCACAAAAAATACTCTCACTCTACTCCCCCCCAACTGTCATGATATTCTAATTATTAATCTCAAGAGAGGAATTGCTTGCTGCCATAGACAATCTACAATTCTCAGTGACTATAGAGATTCAAGGAATCAGAGGTCTCTGCAGAGTAGTATGTACAATAAGGTGACCATAGGCAGCGGCCTAAGGTGCAGTGACTAGACAGGAGACCCAGAAGCATGAGTTTAGTTATGAAGAATGAATGGGGAAGAATGAAAAGGTCGGGGGTTGGGGGCAAACTGCTAAACTGTCCAGAGACCTGTGGAATTTTAATCCTTCTCTGGGTATCAGACCACACAGTCTGCTTGTAAAACAACAAGGATCAACTTAGAATAATGTGTATATCTAAGACTCAGAAGTGAGGCCCCCCAAAACATAATTAACTGCTTTACAATAAAATCAAACAAATTGGTGAGAGCACACTAAAAAACATGCATGTTACCACTCATGTATATGGAATAATCCTGTAGATAAAACAAGAAACAAACATAGGGTAATAACGTAATAACTCTGTGAAAACTAAAATGAAATCAGTCTCACTCACATGGTGCTGAGCCACTTAAAATAAGCTAGCTCAGACTAAAAAATTGGTTTTCACCATTGTGGAGAATGTAGAGGATGTAAACTGACTGTCAGCTCCTCCCTGTGTTTCCCAGCACTGTATCCCTTACCTCTGCACGATCTCATAGTAATGGGGCTTCTCGGGATAAACACACAGCAGCTGCTCTAGCCTCCAAACACAGATCCAAACAAATTCTTTATTCCTGAAATCCTGCATCCTGCATCCTGCATCCTGGAGTATCTGTGGAAGTGCCATAAGAACAAGAAGAAAGCGTCAGTTTGATCCCTTGAGACCATCTACACCTATCCATTCAATACCTTTAGTCTGAGCCAGCTTATGTTAGGTGGCTCAGCACCATGTGAGTGAGACTGAAATAGTACCAAATGCTCAAACAGAATTGAACAAGGGCACTGGTACACACAAAATAGGGGTATTTTGTCACAGTAACATTCATGTTTTTAGTGTGCTCTCACCAATTTGTTTGATTTTATTGTACTGCACTTGTATGTGGTGAAGTGACCCACATAGGTGATTGTAGCACCTTTTTTACTGTTTTAACCAATCCTTATATTTTCTATTTTCATAATTACCTGCCTGCTTAGATGATGAGGATAGCATATCATGTCCATTTCAAACTGATTTTCCAAGAAAGAGAGCCAGTATTCACTTTCTATTTTGCATTCAGATCACCTACCTCACCATCAGTATCTACCT